CAATACGAGAACTTGAAGTTGTATTTTTCTCTACTGGTAAACATATATTAAATATTTACTGTATACCTACATGTGATAATAACTCTATTTATAGTCAATTGATTCATTTAAACATCCTACGATCTCGGTTGGGTATATAGGGGACTTCCATTGTCAAAAGTCAACTAAAAATACCTTAATATTTTAATGTCTAGATACGAAGAAAACTACACTAAAACATGTTTATAAAAATTTTTAGGAACTGTAATTTCCGTTCACGTTCCTTAAAAAATGGAATTTGTTCATTTTCCTCGTTTCTTTATTTTAAAAGGAAGCAGTTCCTAGCATCGTTCCTTTAAAAAAAACTCGTTCCAGGAATCCGTTCCTTTTGGAACTAGTTCCTTCTCAACACTGTAATAAATTCATTTTTTTTTAAATAAAACTTTCACTTTAAAGGACAAAAAATGTAGGTTCAAAATGATTACTTTTAACATATTAAAAATCAAAATCTATAATAATTTGAAAACAATTAATTTAAAAAATTATATGATATATAATTAAAAGAATTACTAATCTTGGTATAATTAAGGAAATAGATGTTGATGTTGCTTTTGTAATTATCCATCAATTTCTCTAAATGAAACACTTGCAGGCTGTGACGAAATTTCCATCTCGGCAAAATATTTAGGGCATGCCTTGCCTATAGTTATCAATCAGAAAGCTGGCGTAAGGTTATGGTGGTGTTTATACCCAAACCTAGCCGCACTAACTATTATGAAGCAAAATCCTACAGAACAATAAGTCTTACTTCTTTTCTTCTTAAGAGTATGGAGAAATTTATTGATAGGTACATTAAGGAAAGACCTCTTAAGGAGAACTCTTTACATGAAAACCAACATGCGTATCAAACGGGGAAATCTACTGATACAGCTCTACACTGCTTAACCACTAAGATAGGGAAAGCTGTAGAGAATAAAATGTATGCAGTAGGTATATTCCTGGACATCGAAAGGGCTTTTGACAATACTCCCTTCGATGCTATGTGTGAATCTGCACAACATCATGGAATAGAACCACTTATTATTAAGTGGATAGAATCCATGCTTAAGGAACGCTCCATTTTGGGACAGCTCAATGAGACCAAAGTAATCAAGAGTGTTAAACAGAGATGCCCCTGGGGCATCTAAAACTAAAATGTTTAAATAAATTACAAAAAATATTTTTTTTATAATTTATAATATGTTTTGGAAAAAATACTAAATAATTTTTTGGTGTTATTAAAAAATATTTTTATTATTTGTTAATTATATATATTTTTATTGCATTCATAAACAATTTTGTATTAAATAACAATAATATTTTTTTTCTCTTACATATTATTTTTAAGCATATTTAGACCACATAATTAAGATTAATTCAGTGTTACTACCCATATAGCAATGAAATATTTCTAGAATATTTTGGGATATTCTCACTGTTTTCAGAATATACTTTGGCAGCCAATATTACATTCTTACAATATTTTAAAGATATATTTCTAAAATATTATTAAACAAATATTGTGACAATATTTTGAAAGATATTTTATTAATATATTCAAAAAATTATTCAGATTCGCATGATTTGAACTCCGTACTTCAAGTTTTGGGGATTCACGTGTTACCTACTGACTAACAGATCACTATGGATGTAATTTGATAAAAAAAAGGCTATTTAAGGTAGTTTAAATTTTCAAAGTAATTTTTCCCGTTTAAAAAATTCAAATTAAATGTAACTTTATATTGAATTTAAATTATATTCATATAATTTTTTTGAAGTTCGGCAATCCCATCGCCTTGACCTCTTCTCGTAAGTTAGGAATCGATCTATATTGTTGGTAATATAAAAATATATTCTAACTATAATAAAAAAACTTTTTAAGATTTTAAGTTTCACTGGACAATAATAAGATACAATTGCGCTGATAAAACTAAAAAATGTTTAACTCGATAGGCCTGCAAATAATAGCAACAATGGTTTTTTTACAGTCCCTGACTTACCTAGCTTAATTGAATTAGGTCAATTAAAATTGATACTAATTAGAATAAACGATTGTTTACTTATTATGGATTTAGGAATATGTATATTTAATACATAAGTATTATATTATTAAATATCAATAACGTCTAAGGGTGTAACTAAAAGGTGGCAAGGAGATGGCTTGCCTCTCTTAAGTTACTTCAGTTGGCCAATAAGATATATATATATAATATTCAAAGAATTACATTAATAATATATTCCACAAATATTTAAAAAGATATTTTTTAAGCACATCGTAGAAATATTTTTAGTGTAATATTCTGTATTTATTCTCTATATTATATTCTCAAAATATACATAAACAAATATATAACAATTAATTTGTGAATATATAATGGAATTATTTCAATAGAATATATTTTTTATTGTATTTATGATACATTGTCACGGTATTTGATTCAAAATATTTTAAAAAGTATTTTGTCAGAATATTTTGACAATATTAGTATATTGAAATTGCTATGTGGGTACACTCAAAAAAAAAAAATTCTTTAAATCAACGGAATGACACTTTGATTTAATGTATAGTTGGTAGTACTGAATCTATGAAAAATTTATTTAATTCAACAATATAATCCTTGATCTTTATTTCAAGGCTATCTTATTTAAATCAAAGGTTTAATAATTTTTTCAAACAGAAAATACTAGTACTCAATCATATTATTCACGCGAACTTGAATGTTGTGTGTGCTTACTTCGTTATCCGTCCACTAACCTGCCTTTCATTTGTTAAAACATTTATTATTGTGTTCTTACCACTTATATTAAACACGTTGTATTTTCATTTATTTCATTCATAAATACTGACGTCGAACTAACAAAGGGCAGTTGTGTTTAAGTGACTGTTATTGATATAGTTTTCGATAATTTTACATTTGTCTTATTTATATTGTTAATAATTTAACTTATTTTATTCAACGATTCGTCTATCGCTAATTCTCATCATTGTTTACCAACTCCGGCTTACTTGGATATACCTACTAACCAAGTATACTAGGATTTACGTCAGACGTATTTTATATTACATATAACTTATATTTACGGAACATTTAAAATATTATTTTTACATTGTCCTTGATATAGAACAATAGTTTAATTTTATTGTATAATCTTTCAATAGTAAAAAAGGTACACGTTTATTCGTTTGTCAATCAGATAATAATAACTAATTTAAGGAAATATGGACAAATTTTAGAAGACGATAGGTCGCCTCCGATCCTTGGTTTCGATCAAGATCATGAACAAGTATTAAACGGACTCTTAAAAAACATAAATCAAATCCTTCCTTATTAATCAGCGAGTAAGCGCGATACTGCTTCTCGCCTCTGATATTTCATATACAGGGTGTTCAGTAAGTCTGGAAACGGGTTTCTATTGTTCTCATTGTTTGTAACAATTACTGAAAACCCTGTATATAAATATTTTAGTACAATTTTCTTTGTTTGAATGGAAAGTTTCGCTAGAAAAATAACAAATCGTTATTATTTTAGTTCATAATATCTTTAAATAATATTATTTTTTAAAAGTTGTGATTATTATACACCCAAAATGTATAAATGCACTCTGTCAAATCCTGATTTTAAAAGTTTATGGGTTACAAGCTATAAACCTATGCTTGTTAGCTTCCTTGCGTAGCTGAGAAGGTATTGGTTTTACTACGATGTGTTTTTTTTTTTGTGTCTATTACCACTTTTTCTCAACTCTCACCGAACCGATTTCTTTCAACGATACGTCAAAAGATCATAAATAGTATTTAGTCGAAGACATTACCCTCTAAAATCGAAAAAATTTCCCTCGTTCCCCGTAAATGGGGAAAACTTCCAAAAAAATTACAAATTTAAAAATCGCTAATTTTTGAAATTTTTTTACTTAAAACTGCCATAACTTTTTTAAAAATGTCCAAATCGATATGTTTTTTTCTATAGATATTATCTATAAGTGATCATAAATTATTTAAACTATTCATAATCATTTATGAGTGATATTATTGTTAATATATTTTATAAACTAATCCTTAAAGAAAATATATTAAAATCACACTATTTTATTAATTTAACTTTTGAAAGTGTTCCAGAAATATTGACACTTTTATATGTATCTTAAATAAAAGCGTATGTAATATAATATCGAGAATACTTAATTTAATATTTTTTAGGTATAGTTTTGTCTCAAATTATGAATTATAAAATATTTTTATGTTCAACGCTAAATTATACACTAAATAACACTATATAACTCACAAATGATAACGGTTTTTTGTGTTGACTGCCAGTACTGAGACAGTATTGCCCTAATACTATAGGTCAGTACAGATTTTATAATGGCTTAATAACGGTACAGTACAGGTCAAGTACAGGCCCAATAATACCTTAGTACTGGTTTTAACCATAGTCCAGTACATATTTTGTAATACAAATTTTACAATGGCACATATAATAGATACTTAAAAGACGATTAAAGTCTTGTAATACTTTATAATAATATATATTTTTTAATTGCACGTTTTAAAAATTTATACATACAGATTTAAATAAAATCTAATTTTTACATAAGATATGCAAATACAAGTATAAATTCTAAATTGTATATATTTAAATTATACATATATAATACATATATTTTGTATTTATTTAAGTTAAAATTACATTTTTAAACTTTGAATCATAAATTAAATACATAAATAAATATTTATAAATTATATGAGTGAACATACTATATCAATATTATTCATACATAATAATTTGTTTATTTAATTTATAAATTAAAACGAATACAAAATTTAATTAATTTAAACAAAAAAATTAATGATAATTTAAAATACCTAAGATTTCTATATAAAAAAATTATTTTGATTTGTTAATTTTTAAAATGGTAGCTTTAAGAAAAAAAAAGTGAAAAAAATGAAAATTTACTGATTTTTAAAATTGTAATTTTTTTGGAGATTTTCTCCATTTACGGGAAACGAGGGAATTTTTTCAATTTTTAAGAAAAATGGCTTCAACTAAATATGATTTGTGATCGTATTGACGTATTGTTAAGAAAAATCGGTCCAGTGAGAGCTGAGAAAATATAGTGACAGATACAAAAAAATAAACAAATCATGGTAAAATGAATACCTCCTCAGTTTCGTACATAAGTTAAAAAAAAGAAATAAGTTTTCAATTAATCTTTGAGAGTTAACTCTATTAACCCTTAAAAATCAATTTTTTTTACAATTGAATCGGTGAGTGGAAGAACAGTACTAGTCCAAAATTCGATATTTCGTTTTTTTTTACGAATTAACTCATCTAATTTAGATCTAAGTATTGAGAGTAAAAATAGTACTAGTTCAACCTTTTTTCACTTTCTAAAAGTATATTTATTATTTTGATGAGTGGAAAAACAGTGTTTTTATTATCATTTATTTATCTCTATGGTTATCGTTATTGTTGTGGTGTGAATGTGTGCTTACATTATTAATTTTTTGCAATATTAATAATATTTTTTATGAGTACATATTTTGTTTTGTTTTTTTGTTTAAACGTTTTTGTGAAATAAAAATGACTGACTCTGACACTACGTCAGGTGAAGAAAATGAAATACCAAAGATAGGAAAGAAACGCAAAGTTTATCTTCAAATATGGAAACGTCAAAAAATTAAGATCGCTCGTCAAAATGGAGCTCCTTATACTTCAGTATCAGGTAATCTAGTTACTTCTAAAATTACTGGTCCTAATTGCGTTTGCAGACGCAAATGTATGAATACGTTTTCCAATGACGAAAAAAAAAATAATTCATAATTTATATGATGGAAACCTGAAAAATGAATTTGATACTTTTTTACTCGGGCTGATCGAAACAAAATCTGTGATTAGATGCCGCCAAAGGTATGAGATTGGTGGAGCAAATGCAAAACCAAGGGCGAATAATTTTGCTTACTTTGTCAACAAGAACGAATTACGCATATCTGTTTGCAAACAGGCTTTTATGAGCTTACACGCTATATCACATATTCAAGTGCAAAGATTAACAAGTATTTTGTTATCTGGTATATCACCTAAAGATGGACGTGGAAAGCACAACAATCGACCGTCTAAGATAAAAGACGAGTTCATTGTAAAGATGAAGGAACACATTGAATCATTTCCGCTGGAAACGTCTCTATATTCTTCTAAACCTTTACGGTATTTGCCTTGTACCTTAAAAACTAAGGAAATGCACAGATTGTTTATTAAAAAGCACCCAGATCTTGAAAATAAAATAAAATATGAGTGTCATAAAAAAAGAGATGAGAAATGTAATAATTGAATATGTATGTGATATTAATACTTTTGTCATAAAAATGAAAAGAAGGTAAAAAGTTATGGATATTAATTATAATAACATAACGAATGAAGAGAGATTATTATAATGAAGGATGATGAAGGAAATAAAATAAGTGGCCATATGTGTGATATTTATATTTTTTATAATTAAGAAAGAGGAATAATAATAGAATGTAGATGTTATATATAGATGTTATGGTTAACGGATTATTGAAGTACGTTTAGCTACAAGGTGAAAATATAGCATACAATATATATATCCATGAACTCTTTATTAAGATACTACCACTACGCGTGGTTTGTCGTAAAAAGTAAATAGAAGGAAAATTATATTCGGATGATTCACACCTGAGTCATATTAATTCTACAATGAAATGTGCAATGATTACGGAGGAGGATTTTACGACTCTTAATATTTATTGGTCATGCTATATGAATGGGAAACAGCGTGTGTTCATGTAAAATGCTACTGTCCAATTGTTGGGAGCCAAGCCTTAATGGCTGAATTATTTTCTTTATGTAATTGTATAATACAAGTTAAAACATCTACGTTGAACGCGTACTATTATGATCCGAATGGTGAGAAAGTAGTTATTAATAACTTTTCAAATTATCCACCTTTAACAATTCTATTATTCCCTCGATAAAAGTTATTCTTGATTTATCTTACGTCTATCCTTAATTTTTATGACATGCTTAGAAATGTAATTTCTTACCTTGTGTCCAGCTAGCTTGATTGTTTATTGCGTAAAAGATATATATATATATAGAGAGAGCACTGACTTTTATCTACTTATTAATTTTTGTAAAATTATGCAAATTATTAAACTTGAAATATTACTTCACTGTAGTTCCTTTCTATACTTGGTGTCTGAGTATATGTGTTACTTTATATTTTAAAATAAATATTTATATAACCAGATAGCTTATGAGAACCAATCCCTAGTGACACGTTATAAACTATTGTTTTACGAATAGTTTCAACCGCTAGATGTGCTAGGGTAATGACTTCAATAAACTATCGATATTTTATGAAATTGTGTATTTGACATGAGAGTCGACAGAGTTAGAGACAGGCTGGCTACACCATCGGAGATTACTCTCGTCGATGCACGGACCTTACAGAGTCAAAAACTGCTTGCCGAAAAGAACGTAATGGAATATGAGAATCAATCCCTAGTGACACGTCACAAATTATTGTTTTACCAATAATTTCAACCGCTAGATGTGCTAGGGTAATGATTTCAACAAACCATCAGTATCTTGTGCAATCAATCAAACACGTATCTATTTAAATTTAAGATACATTCTACGATCTCCTTAGTGACACGTCACAAACTATTGTATTACAACAGTTTCAACCGCTAGATGTGCTAAGGTAGATTTTCGAAATGCACTTATTAAATAGACACTCCAATTGAAGAATTAAAAAAAATTCTTAATTGGAACAACTCACAAAATACAAAATAAAAATATTAAACGTCTTAATATTTTATGAATATTTAAGACTAAAAATAAAAAGATAAAAAGGTTAAGTTATTTATTTAAATTACATTACTTACGAGAGATTTAGATAATAAACACCAAGTATAAAAAAATTTTAAACTCATAGAGAGCACAATCGCGAGATATTCTGGTTCAAAGATACTTCATGACCAAATTTAAAAAAAAATGAGGTGGTAAATGAGCTAAAAATCGCTCTTTTATAGGCCCGTTTTATGAGGGGGAGATTTAATGTTTTATATTTTAATTGCCAAATCCTTCTCATTGGCTAGTCAAGGAAACTTGAATAGACCTGTGCGCAATCTATTATTCTACTAATTTGAGTTAATGTTTCATATTTGTATTGGTGTTTATATCTATCATCTTCCATAATAATGTGGTTTATTAGAAAAATTATCAATATAAAAATATAAATAAAATAAAATTATAAGTGCTAAATATCTATTACATGAGTACTACCTAAAGTTTTTTCAAGAAAATTATTACTTCAGCTTTCGACGACCTTAAGTGGACGTATGTTCAGAGTGTGAGAACTTGGGATCAAGAATCCGGGATAAAAACTTAAATGATAATGCAAAGAGAGTAGCAGCAGCGCAGTATTTAATCCACAAAAAACGTGCCAATAAGTTTTATAATAAACTTAAAGAAGTTGAGAATCTATGTAAGGAAAATCATAGTGTGGCAGCAATATGTTTCGATTTTATGCAAAACCTTCCTTTACTTAATATACCTGTTCAAGACATATTTTATTATCGTCAACTGTGGGTAAATACCTTTGAAATTCATGATTTAAAAGAAAATACGGGCCACTGTTACGTGTATCACGAAGAGCAAGCAAGAAAAAGCCCAAATGAAGTTAAAAAAGCTTAAGTTACTAAACAATAAAGTGTTACTATTATGTTTTAACTATTCCTACTATTTTATATTATTTTTATTTTAATTTAAAAGAAGTTATCAGGGAAATTATAAACAAAAACATAATTGAGAAGAAAAATAGTATGTTGGATACACATCGATCGAATATGCTGTCAAGAAAATGTGTTTTTTGATTATTCATGTTATCGTTGTGTTACATCGANGGAAGTTATCAGGGAAATTATAAACAAAAACATAATTGAGAAGAAAAACAGTATGTTGGATACACATCGATCGAATATGCTGTCAAGAAAATGTGTTTTTTGATTATTCATGTTATCGTTGTGTTACATCGAGTTGTTGTCGGTTTTCTCTCTATGTTACCATTGTCGCAGCCATCTTAACGCTTCTTCTGTTATAAGCTCTATGGCGTTTGCGAGCCAGTAGTTTTGTATTCTTTTTTACTGTAAAAAGAAAATATCACCTTTGTGATTGTCGTACCTGTGCGCTCAGTTTATCGCCGTTGGGTCTATATATTTTCTGAGATACATCACAATACCTTTGACAGCATATTGTACACTTTGGTCAGCTACTTGCATTCGACTTCAATTGATCCTTTCAATATTCAACATTATCATCAGCCGTTTCATTTAGCAGATAAGTATAATGCTTGTTCATTTATCTTTCTAAGACTCACTCGTATAATTTATTATTTGTTTATATCATCGCCTTTGTGGCATTAGTATTAAGTGTCCCCCCTATCCACATTGGTGTATATAAGATTTTATATTTATTATATAATACATTTAATTGTTATAATTATATCTTGTGAAATTCATTCTACATTCAAACATACAGTCCACTTATCTTATTCTTTATCCTCGACATAGCTAAAACTTAAGACAAAACAAAACCACGAACGTTAATGAACCCGCGTGAATACCACCGGTCGCTGCGTTCATTCACAGTACTTCTCTGATGATATTTTTAAACTTTTTTAAATAAAAAAAAAATTTTTTTATGACCAATGATTGTAATAACAAGCTATTAAGAACTTTGTAAAAACAGCTACAAAATTTCCTGGCTTCTAAAGTCTATAAGTTACTGTAAACAGAATTTTTTAACTTAAAAACTTGATTATCTCAAATTTCACTTTTTGGACTAGTACTGTTCTTCCACTCACCGATTCAATCAGTCATGAGAAATATTGAATCTATTACTATTGTAATTATCGAATAGTAAAAGTATTTGATAGTTTAAATAAAGTCTATTTAAATAGTTTCAAAACTATTATTGGTTGTTTATTTTAGTTTTCAGAGGATCAATCGGTCGCAATAACGAGGGCATTCGTACTTAAGTACTAGGCTTCGACCTTGACTTGAATCCTTTAGACCGTCCTTATAAGTAGATCAAGGATACCGGAAGGGGTACATGACAATGCTTGGCATGTTAAGTTTTTGACACAAAATGTATAACTTCAAAATTATTATTATAAAAAAAAATATAGTGAACATTTAATTATTAAAATGATTAAAATACAAAAAGGGTTGTAGCGTTACGCTACAGCTTTAGTACCGTTTGTCAGTTACAAGAAAGTTCACTGGACAGGGCTGTTTGTTAACTTTTATTCAAAAGAATATAATATAATGTATTTTTTATTTAATTATATAAATAATAATGCTTGTATACCCTTTTATGTTACTTATCAGTCCAAACGGGAACTTAAAAATTAAAGAACATATTAAAATGTACATTTATTCATTACAAAATATTAAAAATAAATAATCAGTAAATGATTAATCTACCCTACTCAAGTGGTGACGGGTAGTATAAGCTACACCTTCACTGCTAGAAAAATTATCTTTATTTTTCAATACCCTTTTTCTCATTGTACAACTATTTGTATTATGCTAGTGATTGCAATATATATTGCCGACTAGATCACATGCATACACCGCTTCACCAAGTAAGGTTCTATATTTCTTTCCTTATATCTTAATATTTGATATATAGAATTTTCAACGGTACTTATAACAGCGCGTTACCAACCGTGATCGAAATTCTATACATTAAAATTATTTTCTAAAAAAGCTAGTTTAATCTTCAACAGTTGTTCGGTCGTGACAAAACAGTTTGGCGGGTGAGCGATGGTTTTTCTTCTCTTCAACAAGAGCGCGACCTACCACAACTGGTTTATCTGTTGGGGTAGTGTGTGGCAGTGGTCGTAAAGGATTCATTCGCGTATCGGCATGTCTAGAGTGTTTGTGTGTATCACGGATTCTAGTGCGTTATTTGTTGGTTTTTGTTTTCTTTGACGGTTTTATATGTTCAATTCACTCTGTTGATTGCGTCGGGCTCAACTTCTTTACTTGACACATTCACAATCTTCATTTGGGTACAGAAAGCAAGGTCAGAATATATATTTTCTGTTTGTCTAAATATTAATTACTAAGAATTTATGTTGTTGTATCTTAGTAGATTAGTTTAAATATAAGTACTAATAATAGATTTAAGATAAACCATTTTTGTTACTGTATTAGAAAACACATATTTAATCGGTAAATTAAATTACAGTCCACTAAAACGTCATTTTTTTTTATTTTCTTCTTTTTCTATTTAATTTAAAGGAACCTTTAGAGACGCGATTTCATTCGGCGATTGGTCGTCCGAGTATTTCGCGTCGCACAACAGTGATCATGACCATCGCGTTATCAACCGTGATCAAGATTACTGGATTTTCCTAAATATTCCTTTTAATCTTTTGCAACGGTGCTCGTAACAACGCTTTACCAACCGTGATCCAAAGGGTTATATTCCTCCCTTTGCATAATTCAGTTTATCTTCAACGGTGATCATAACCTCCGTAATCAAGATAACGGTCTCATTGTAAAAATTCCTTTAAACTTTTGCAGCGGTGTTCGTAACAACGCGTTATCAACCGTGATACAAAGGGTTATTCTTCTGTCTTCGCCTAAATTGGGTGATTCCTAGAGTGGGACTGATATGATAGATGGTTGTTTAGTATAGATATATTCGTCTTTTTTAGAATAAAACAAAATAAGTTGATTATTTGAACAATTTTCGTTCTGTTTTCGTTTTATTGATAAATTTAAGTTAATTAAAAACAAACTTAGAAGAGTATAAAAGTAGAAACGTTTCAGGGTCATTAGTAAAGCGTTCAAAAGTTGACATTTGGTGCCAAAAAAAAAAAAAAAATAATACAAATTTATATTCAAAATTAGACTTAATAATTAACAACTAATTATTATTTAGTACAATAGATATGCAAAAGAATAACATAACAATCATAGTAATACAAATTTGTAAATACCATCTTATTTATGTTTCCTGTTAACGTATTACACAAATATAAACAAACAATTCCATTTTATATATTTTAATAATTACAATTAATTTTATCAAATATAAACTATACACGTGGAATTAAAAAAAAAAATTCTAATCTTTACAAAT